TATAGTAGTCTGCATGTGAATATTATTTAGCATATATTTAATCACAGAAATACGAGTAAATCGGAATTTAAAAAACCATTCGGAAACTTTTGTCCTCCCTCTGTATATATATATATATAATATATAGGACAATTATCATTTTGAAATATATAATTAGATCTATTTTCTAAATATGGCAATAAATTATTTTTAAGAATCTCTATATATTCTTTTGTAATTTGTTAACCATTAACTAGTATCAATGGTCCTAAATCATTTATTAAAAAACATCTCCAAACTATAATATCTTTTCTACCAGATTTAAATATTGATATAAAACAATCTACATCATATTTCTTCTTAGATAATCACCAAACATAATTATGACTAAAGATGGATTCTAAATTATTTAACATATAAAATTTTGCAGATCAATTATGTCCCTTTTGAAAGGATATAATTATTTATTTATTATTTTAATAGGGACATAATTCAAAAAACATTTGGATCAAGTGGCCTAAATTGTAAAAAATCTTTGTAGGTAGTTTTTTTTTAATCTTATATTTAAAAAAAAACTTTTTTAATAGTAAGAAACATTTGAATTATATCCTTGCCTTTAATTTAGGAACTTATCTTTAATCATAACCATTACTTTCATATATCTCAAATCAAGATTTATTATTCCAAATAATTATATCCTATTTAGAAATCTAATCTAATCATTCAATTGCCCAATTATACCTTAATTTTTTTATTTTTATTTACTAATAAATAATTTTCTTTTTTCAACTCTAGTATAATAGCCTTTTTTATAAAGATATTATTGTAAGGTATATGTGGAAACTTTAGTTAATATTGATTGTACAAATTCTTTTTGTATAGTATTTAATGTTGCTTTATGATTTTTTTTGATAATCCTTATTAAATATCATGTATTACAATTTGTTAATTTAGGGGATCTTCCACTTCGAATAGGAGGTTTGACATTTTCAGTCTTTTTAAAGTAACTGATTATACATAAACTGTTGATCTTGTGATATTGAATATTTTTGTAATGATTGAAGGTGAGAAATCAGACTTTCAAGTATTTACTATCAAACTATGTTTATCTTCAGATAATTTTTTATGTTTTTGAGTTATTACAAAAAAAATAGTAAATAAAAAAAAAAAATTTCACTAAATCCCTAACTTATAAACATGTAAACAACATAAACCTTATTTAATTTTCTATTTAAGTAACTGTAAAAAAAATTTTAAAAAATTTTTTTCATTCATTAATTTTTTTCATATTTGATTGACATCTAATGATTTATGCTAGGGGAGTGTACATAACTCTTATATGTAGAAGACACTTCATGTCTATCTAGATATTATGTATCAATAAAGATATGCATGAATGCACATTCACCTTAATATACTGTATATACTGTATATATACAGTATATACAGTAGTTTATAAATACATTTTTTAAAAATATAGTTCATTATTTATTTATTTACTTGTTTGGTTTATATACTTTATCTAAACTATTTTATATAACCAGAATTAATGTTGTACAATAAAGCTTAATTTCATAAAATTTACATAATAAAAGTTAAAATAACTTGGGTTTTATTACGTAAATCAATATTTTAATTTCGGTTTTTTTTGATCACAAGTTTCGTAGAATAGTTTTGTATATACTAATTTCGTTGTAATGAAATATGCTCGGTCACAAGATGATTGATCACTGATTACATAAAAGCAGTATTCCACAATATCAGCATCTACAATTATGGATGAATTTTGATTATACTAATAAATAATATGTATGAGATTGATTGAAATGGGAAATTATCTTGAAGATGACAAAAGTGTTGAATATGATTTTTTGATTCTTATTTTTTAGATAATACGTAAATAATATAAAATTAAGATCACAATTATAAGGTCCAAAAACTGTTGCCTTCGAAAATAATTACACAAATCTATATATCAATTCATTGAGAATTGTAAAGTCGAAACTTGAATTCGTGAAAATATTCGTAATGTAAGACGACAATTGAATTAGACCATTTATTAAGACCAAAATCAATTTGACCCTTCTAAGATGTGTAAACCGATTTTTTCAAATTAATTATGCTACTTAATCCTTAATCTAATTATAAGTTAAAATGCGAGAACCATTTGTTCAACGATTTCTAATCTGATATAACGTCGGTTAACCTTAAAGAATTATAATTCTATATTACTTAAACTTGGTCTGAAGTCGAAATTTCTAGAAAAAATTATCTAAAACTAATACTACAGAAAGTAAATGTTTATGTATAGATCCGAAATAAATGCATGACCATCCAAAATAAAACAGGCAAATCAATATACTTAATAAATTATCCTAAAAAAATGTAACTTAGATTAGTTTACGAGGCCAATTATGGTACATCATATCGAAATATTCCAGCCTCTGTTATAAATATTCTCACCTTGTTGGAGCATCTCGCTGCTTGAACCGCCTGGATTACCATCATCCTCTTCATGCTCAACCCTCACACCATTGTTCGAATCGCCATCGCCTTTTTCATCTTCATTCGTATCTTCATCCATGTAAGAACTCTCGAATACAACATGAGTACTTTCGACATCATCTTCCTCAGAAGAATCACCAAAAGTGTCAAACATATTTTCCGACGCAGATTGCTTGTTACTTCTGTTAAGAGGAATAGAATCATCCACTCCATTTGCATCTCCCGATTGTAACACGGATTCATAAGTATCTCGTGAAAAGAATTTCCTGAATTTTCTGTTAGTAATGTTCCAGAACCTTCTCTTTGTAACACATGCAAAGTATGTCATCCCAGAGAGTATAAAAGTCACTAATACTCCGACCCCAGTCAAAATCCAACCATTCGATTCAGTGGTCATTGTTTCTGACGTAGAATTGGAATTTTCTTCCGTAGGGGTAGCTATCACTACAGGTAAAGTAGAAGATATTGATGTGGTATATTCCGACGTAGGTGAAGTTGAAATCGTTGAACTTTCAGTTGATAATATAGTCGAAACACTAGTTGAACTAACGACTACACTAGAGGTAGGTGACGTGGTATTCACACTTTCTCCCCAAAATTTAATCAACCAATCTATGAATATACCCCTATGCTGTGGATTTTGCCTGTCTCTCACTTGAATTGTCCACTCGCCGATAGGTGATTCATCCCTGAATAACCAATATTTTACTTGTTAGAGGATGGTATAGTTAATGGTGCAAGTTTAAAATATAGAAAGAACATACCAATGTTTCAAAGTCATGAAAGTCCAGTTGGTTAATCCTTCGTTATGTTCATCGTATCTCCTTGCTGCACCAAGTATCGAATTGATATTATTTGGACTTATTAAATTTACCTCAATATCACCTCTACGCGTATGGTTAATGTTTATGGTAACGGTAATGTGTTCAAGTCTAACTAAGCCTACATTATCTAATAATTCTTGAGTCACAACTACCTTGCTTAGAACTCCCTCGTCATCATCTGGTATTGGCTTGTTAACAGTCACAATTGGCATTTCCAGGTCAACTTGAGGGCCAAGATTCTTATAT